AGGAGGAGGAGGAGGAGGAGGAGGAGGAGGAGGAGGAGGAGGAGGAGGAGGAGAGCGAGAGAGAGAGCGAGTGGGAGCGTGGGAGGGGGGGGGGGGCGGCAGAAGCAAGTCCAGATGGTTACCATAGGATCGATGATGTACATACGCACTCGTAGCTCATGGACTTGGAGGATGAGACTGACTTGATCCTCAGCACCGTCATCCCTGCCTCTCAGCTCCCATGCTGTCGGTTTCTCCACCTCACCGATGTTTCCTCCTCCCAGTCCTTTGCATGCCGCTGGGTTCAAGGCCCTGCGGATGGAAGTTCCGAGCATGCGGAGCGTCTCTCCTGCCTCCCCACTCCGTCTTGCAGGCTCCCTGGCAACCCCCTCCTCCAAGAAGCCGAGCGGAAGAAGATCGCTGCAGAGGCTGATGATAGCTGTGGCTCTGCTTGCCGCCGCCTCCTTGTGGAGCTTGCCGGCTCTGGCGACAACCGGAGCATCGCAGGCGGCCGAGGGGACTTCCGGGATAAGGAAGTTTGTGAAATTCGTGCTGCACCTGGACACAGAGCTGGTTGCTATCATAGCGAAGTACGGGACGATGACGTATGCGATCCTGTGGTCGATTGTTTTGCTGAGACAGGTGAGGACGCGAGGACGCGAGGACGCGAGGGGGGGAGGAGAGGAGGAGGAGGAGGAGGAGGAGGAGGAGGAGAATTTGAGGAGCATCTTGCAGGTTTGGTTGTCACGCCTTTCCTCCCCGGAGACTCCCTACTGTTTGCATGTGGAGCCTTGTGAGAACAACCCCTTCTACTTAGAGCGAGCTTTGCTACTGCCTTCCTTGCTCCTTCCTCCTTCCTCCTTCCTCCCTTCCTTGCTCCTTGCTCCCATCCTCTCCTTCCTTCTTGATCGTGCCGGCTACCTCGTCCTAAACTTGCGCCTCTGATGCTTCAGAGTAGGTGCGCCATTGGATCTCTCAAACTCGTTCCTGTCGTTGTGACTTTCTTGACTGCTGCTATCATCGGTGAGCGGAAACAGCAGGGGGAGGAGGAGGGGGAGGAGACTGCTGAGTCGGGGAGCAGGTGATGCGGTGAACTATGCGATCGGCAGTGTGGTGGGCCCGAAGGCGTTTGAGAGCGACAGCTGGTTCTTGAAGAAGAAGAATCTTGAGAAGGTGCGCCGCGATGGCATGATGAGAGGAAGAGGAAGGGAAGATGCGGTGGGGAGAGAGGATAGGAATGGTGCGAGCAAGACAAGGAGGAAGGGAGGGAGGGAGGGAGGGAGGGGGGGAGGGAGGGAGAAATGGAGGGAGGGAGGGAGGGAGGGAAAAGGAGCAGGAGCAGGAGCAGGAGCAGGAGCAGGAGCAGGAGCAGGAGCAGGAGCAGGAGCAGGAGCAGGAGCAGGAACAGGAACAGGAACAGGAGCAGGAGCAGGAGCAGGAAGAGTTTGGTGGATAGTTTGTGGTCAGTGTAGTGGGGATGTGGGGATGTTGTTAGGGAGACAACGGTTGCTGATGAACGACATTGTTGTCTTCAGACTCAAAAGTTTTACGAGAAATATGGAGGGAAGACCATTGTTCTTGCTCGCTTCGTTCCCATCGTCAGGACGTTTGCTCCTTTTGTTGCCGGTGAGCAGAAAAACAGAGATTCAGCTCCTTGGTGTTGCTGGTTGTTGTTGGTTTTGTTGATGGTCTTGATCTTGAACTTGATCTTGAACTTGAACTTGATCTTGATCTTGATCTTGATCTTGATCTTGATCTTGATCTTGATCTTGTTCTTAATGCATCTGAGGATTCACGGGGCCGTGTTGAGATGCCAGTGTATTGCCTTCGCTCACTTGGACTCAGGAGTTGGCACCATGAAATATTCGTCTTTCGCTTTCTACAACGTCATCGGAGCTATCACCTGGACGGTTGGTGCCTGACATCAATAAGGGTGGTGGTGGAATCGATAATGCTGATAGTCACGAATATCAATCTAACTGATGATGGTTATGGTGGTGGTGATGATGGAGATGATGATGATGTAAATGATGATGATGATGACGACGACGACGGTGATGATGATGACAGCAAGAGATGTTATAATGCTGATCTTCTCGGTTGTAATGTATGCTGGCATCTATTGAGAAACTTTCAACACGGAGTTGTAATGGTTTCTAATTCATCAACAGACTCTCTTTGTAGGCGCAGGCTTCTTCTTTGGTATGTTTGTATTTCACTCATGTTACACCTTAACTAGTTTTTACATCCACAATATCTGCTCCCTGCTCCCCTTTCCACTCCTCCTCCATCTCCCCCTCGCATATCACGTTCCTATCCTCCCTTCTCCCTTCTCCTCCATCTTCCTCCTCCCTTCTCCTCCCTTCTCCTCCCTCTTCCTCCCTTCTCCTCCTCCTCGCTCCTACTTCTCCTTGAAGTTTCCTCATCGTGCTTGTCTCAGGCAACCTCCCAGCCGTGAAGCATAACTTCACCCTTGTCGTGCTCGGTGAATTGCTTTTCCTCTTCCCCTCCTCCTCCTTTTTTGCTCCTCCTCCTGCTCCTCCTCCTGCTCATCATCATCATCATTATCATCATCATCACTTTCACTCCAGGTATCGTCGTCGTCTCCGTCGTCCCGGTCATCCTGGAGCTTTTGAACGCGAAGAAGGAAGACAAACAATGAAACATCATCTTGCACCTCCTCCTCCCTCTCCTCCTCCTCCTCCTCCTCCTCAAACTGTGCCCGCTGCCTCCTCCTCCTCCTCCTCCTCCTTGATCTTTTGACTTCAGATTATGAAAGCTCGACCTTACGCGCATCCTGCCTCGTACAAAATTTCCTCTCCATTTCCCTCGCAATCTTCGTCGTCATCATCGTCCTCATTGAGATTGTCTTCATCATCATCCCCGTTGTCTTGTAGATAGAGTTGCTTCTGGCTCATGTCTGGTTCGAAAGCGATCATGACAGCATTCTGAGGTCATGAGAAGTCAGAAGCAGATTCTCCTCATCATTGCCCCTCCCTTCCTCCTCCTCCCCCCTGCCCCCTCCTCCTCCTCCTCCTCCTCCTCCTCCTCT